AAATAGATTTCAAGACAAAAGCTATAAAAAAAAGACAAAAAAGGTCATTATATAATGATAAAGGGGTTCATTCATCAAGAGGATATAATGATTGTAAATATATATACACCCAACACTGGATCACCTAGTTATGGAAAGCAAATATTACTAGAGATAAAGAAAGAGATAGACTCCAGTATAATAACGGCTGTTGATTTCAGCATTGGACACTGTCAGCACTGCACTGATCAAGACAGAAAATCAACAAAGAAGCACTGAAATTAATCTGCACTATCGACCAAATGGACCTAGATATTTACAGAACATTTCACCCAACAGCTGCAGAATACATATTCTTTTCCTCAGCACATGGACCTTCTCAAGGATAGACCACATTTTAGGTCACAAAACAAGTCTTAAAAATTTCAAAAATATCAAAATCATATTAAATATCTTCTCTGAGCATGGTGGAATAAAACTAGAAAGCAATAACAAGAAGAAATTTGGGAATCATACAAATACATGGAAATTAAACAACATGCTCCTGAATGACCAGTAGGTCGATGAAAAAATTTAAAAAATTTAAAAAATTCTTGAAACAAATTAAAATGGAAACACAACATAACAAAAGCTGTGGGATACAGTGAAAGCAGTACTAAGAGGAATGTTTATAGAATTAAGTGCCTACATCAAAAAAGCAGGAAAACTTCAAATAAACAATGTAATGATGCATCTTAAAGAACTAGAAAAGTAAGAGCAAACCAAATTCAAAGTTAGTAGAAGGCTGGAGTGATAGCTCACACCTGTAATCCCAGCACTTTGGGAGGCTGAGGCAAGTGGATTACCTGAGGTCAGGAGTTCAAGACCAGCTTGGCCAACATGGTGAAACTCCATCTCTACTAAAAATACAAAAATTAGCCAGGCGTGGTGGTGTGTGCCTGTAATCCCAGCTACTCAGGAGGCTGAGGCACGAGAATTGCTTGCACCCAGGAGGCAGAGGTTGCAGTGAGCTGAGATCATGCCACTGTACTCCAGCCTGGGCAACAGAGCAAAACGCTGTCCAAAAAAAAAAAAAAAAAAAGAAGAAGGAAAGAAATAATAAAAATAAAAGAAAAAGCAGAAGAAAAGAAATAATAAAAATCAGAGCAGAAATAAATAAAATTAAAATAAAGAACAATCCAAAAAATAAATAAAATGATATGAAAAGTTGAGTTTTCTGAAAAGATGAACAAAATCAATAAACTTCTAGCCAGATTAAGAAAAAAAGAGAGAAGACCCAATAAATAAAATCAGAGATGAAAAAGGAGACATTACAACTGATACAGCAGAAATTCTGAGGATCAACTATATTTTAACACACTGGGAAACCTAGAAGAAATGGATAAATTCCTAGATATACACCATTTACCAAGATTGAACCATGAAGAAATCTGAAACCTCAATAGACCAATAACAAGTAAAAAGATCAAAGTCATAATAAAAAGTTGCCCTAGCAAAGAAAAGCCTGGGATCCAATGGCTTCAATGCTGAATTTTATCAAACATTTAAAGAAGAACTAATACCAATCCTACTCAAGCTATTCTGAAAAATAGAAGAGGAAACACTACTTTCAAATTCATTCTATGAGGCCAGTATTACCCTGACACCAAAACCAGATAAAGACACATCAAAAAAAAAAAAAAAAAAAAAAAAAAGAAAGAAAAAAAAGAAAAGGAAAAGAAAACTATAGGGCAATGTCCCTGATGAACCCTGATGCAAAAATCCTCGACAAAATGCCAGGAAACTGAATTCAACAAGACATTAAAAAAATCATTCATCATGACCAAGTGGCATTCATCTCAGGAATGCAAGGATGGCTCAAGATACACAAATCAATCAATGTGATACATCCTATCAACAGAATGAAGGACAAAAACCATGTGATCATTTTAATTGATGCTGAAAAAGCATGTGATAAAATTCAACATCCCTTCATGATAAAACCCTTCAACAAACTGGGAGTAGATGGAAGATACCTCAACACAATAAAAACCATATATGACAGGCCCATAGGTAGTATCATACTGAACGGGAAATACTGAAAATCTTTTCTCTAGAATTTGGAACAACACAAGGATGCTCACTTTAACTACCATTATTAAATATAGCACTGGAAGTCTTAGCTAGAGTTAGTAGACAGGCAAAAGATATAAAGAGCATCCAAACTGGAAAAGAAGAACTCAAATTATCCTTGTTTGCAGATGATATAATCTTATATTTGGAAAATCCTAAAGACTCCACCAAAAAAATTATTAGAATGGATAAACAAATTCAGTAAAGTTGTAGGATACAAAATCAACATACAAAAATCAGTAGCATTTCTATATGCCAACAGCAAACAATCATAAAAAGAAAATAATCTCATTTACAGTAGCTAAAAATAAAATAAAATACCTAGGAATAAACTCAACCAAATAAGTAAAAGATCTCTAAAGTGAAAACTATAAAACATTGATGGAAGAAATTAAAGAGGACACACACACACACACAAAAGGAAAGATATTTTATGTTCTTGGATTAGAATAATAATTATTGTTAAAATGTCCATTTTATCCAAGGAAATTTACAGATTTTATATACAATTCCTATCAAAATACCAAAGACCTTCTTCACAGAAATAGAAAAAACATCCTAAAATTTATATGAAACCACAAAAGACCCAGCATAGTCAAAGCTAACCTGAGCAAGAAGAACAAAACTGGAGGAGTTACATTACCTAAATTAAAATTGTATTGCAGAGCTAAAGTAACCAAAATAGCATGGTACTGGCATAAAAATAGACACATAGACCAATGGAACAGAATAGAGAACCCAGATATAAATCCATACATCTACGGTGAACTCGTTTTTGACAAAAGTATCAGTAACATACGTTGGGGAAAAGATAGTTTCTTCAATAATGATTCTGGGGAAACTGGATATCCATATGCAAAAGAATGAAACTAGACTCCTATCTCTTGCCACATACAAAAATCAAACCAAAATGGATTAAAAGGTCAGGCGCGGTGCCTCACGCCTGTAATCCCAGCACTTTGGGAGGCAGAGGCAGGTGGATCACTTGAGGTCAGGAGTCCGAGACTAGCCTGGCCAACATGGTAAAACTCTGTCTCTACTAAAAGTGCAAAATTAGCTGGGCGTAGTGGTGGGTGTCTGTAATCCCAGCTATTCTGGAGGCTGAGGTGGGAGAATCACTTGAAGCTGGGAGGCAGAGGTTGCAGTGAGCCAAGATCATGCCACTGCACTCCAGCCTGGACCACAGAGGGAGACTGTCTCAAAAAACAAACAAACACCCAGAGACCCTAGTAGGCACAGACACAAGCCGCTGGATGTTGAGAGGAACACACCAGTGGAGGAGCACACAGGTGGCTGGACATTGAGAGGAACAGAGGAGCAGAAGAGCACACCGACAGGCACCAGCGGACACTGCCAGACCATCCACAGGTAGAACAATGCCTAGACTGAGGGGAATTTGGCCAGCATAGTCAGCGAAGAGTCCGGCTGCTGAGCGGCCAGACTCCAGGGGAAAACCACCTTTCCACTCCATTCCCTTTCTGGCTCCCCATCCAACTCTGAGAGCCACTTCCACCATTCAATAAACCTTGCATTCATTATCCAAGCCCATTGTGGGATCCGATTTTACCGGTACAACAAGGCAAAAACTCCAGGATGCAGAAAGCCCTCTGTCCTTGCGATAAGACAGAGGGTCTAACTGAGCTGATTAACACAATCCACCTATAGACAGCAAAACTAAAAGAGCACCCTGTAACACACGCCTACCGGAGCTTCGCTTCAGAAGCTGTAAGCCTTCGCTTCTAGACACTGCCCTGGGTTTCGAGCTCACGCGCCCCACAACCTGCCCGTCTGCATGCTCCCCCTGAGGGTTTCAGCAGAGAACCAAAGAAGAAGTCACACCCCCATTGTTACCGGTAGAAGGTGTCCAGGTTCTTGGCGTCTTGAACAAAAAATTGGGCAAAACGCATAAACAAAGCAAGGAAGGAAGGAAGGGATTTATTGAAAATGAAAGTACACTCCACAGCGTGGGAGTGGGCCGAGCACAGGGGCTCAAAGGCCCCGTTACAAATTTTTTGGGAGTTTAAATACCCCTTAGAGGATTCCATTGGTTACTTGGAGTACGCCCTGTGTAAATGAAGAGGATGAAGTAAGGTTACAAAGTCGTTTATGGTGTACACCCTATGGAGAGGATATTTCCTGTTATAGCCGAAGTGTGAATCGGCCTTATGTTCCCTACCTCCAGACCCTATTTTTCTGCCTCACCATCACATGCCCTGCAAGGGTGATAAGGAAACTATTACCGTTTCAGTATCAAGGAAATGAAACTTACCAGATCATCACATCTGGACAATGAGACACCAAATCCCTCACCTATCATGATTCCCTAAGCGACCACCTGATTCCTGTTGACTAACTCCTCTTCCTTACCCCTCCCTAATTCCTGATTTCCTGCAAGTAGTCACATTTCTTTCTCGCTATATAAACCCCTGATTCTAGTTGGTTGGGGAGACCGATTTGAGACTGATTTCCCATCTCCTCGGCTGCAGCACCAGAGAATCGCTTGAACCCCGGAGGCAGAGGTTGCAGTGAGCCGAGATTGCGCTCCTGCTCTCCAGCCTGGGCGGCAGATTGAGAAGCGGTCTCAAAAAAAAAGAAATTTCCAAATTGTCTGGAATAAGTATATTAAATTTATTTTTTAAAAGGTTATTAAAAACTATAGGAAAATTTTGTTTGCTTTCATCTGAAATATAATGTTCCTCATGTTAAATCTTGTTCTTCCCTGGCAATTGCCTTCTTCCCTGGGAATTCTCATTGTTTCAGTGATTGGCATTCTGTGCCAGGAGCAGCAGGATCTAGACGCAACCCCTGGCCTTTTAGTAACACATGTAGATCTGGCCCCGCCCGCCTGCCGGTTGTCTGTACTGATCTGAGTATAGTCAAGTACCTGCGCATGCCCAGAACGCACCAAGCATTCTGCCCTCTGGCAGCCTCCTTCCGACCATCCAGATACCACCTCCTTCAAGAAGCCCTCCCTTTGGGGAGGTAGCCCCGCCCTTTGGGAGCACAAAACCCTTTTTGCTCCCAAAGCCCTACGGCTTTATCATGTGCTGATGCTACTCTCTGCTTGTTCGCTGGCTGGGCAGGCCGGTGAACACTTTGCAGGAGGGGGCTTTGTCATAATCTTCTTTGTAGCCCCAGCCCTAGCTCAGCAGCGGAGCCCCTCAAACCTCGGGAACTCCTCCCTGCAAAGGAGCCAGGACGCCCTCCCTCAGGCTGCCTTTAACCAGGGCAGAGTGACAGAGGACCTCCACAGAGTTAGCGGTCACTGCCTTAGCAGTTAGGCCTCGGGGCCCGGGCAGGCACAGCTGGCGGGACTCGGCGCAGGCTGGCGCTGGGGCTTGTGTATCCACCTCACAGCTGCAGGCGGACTGTAAGCGCGCGCGCGGTCGCCATGGCAGCGCAGCCGCCGCGGCCAGTGGGTGAGAGGAGCATGGGGAGCCCCCGGGAGGCCGTCCGTGCGCCGGCCAGGTCCCCGGCTTGGGCCCCCACTCAGGCCCGTACTCCGGGCGCGGCCCTGGTGGGCCAGCGCGGTAAGAAGTAGGGAGTCCGTCTGCGCGGCCTGGCCCGGACGAAACGCGCTAGGGGCGCCGGGTGCCACGGCCGGAGTCCTTCTAGCAGCCCGCCAGCCCAAGGCGGCGCGGAGGGAGAGTGCCCCTGGGAACCCCATCTGTGACCAGAGGTTTGGGGCGCCCCGAAACGAGGGCAGGAGAGGAGTCCCCGCCGTTTGTGCGATAGGTTGTGCAGATGGTGTCTGTCGCCGTGCTCTCGGGATCTCCAGGGTCTCCCTCCGGGAGGGTGTGGCTGGGGGGCTCTTCTCAGACCCCTTTTTGTGAAAGTCCCAGAGAGCAGGTCACAGGTGGGCATGAGGGTCTTGATACCGTTTCTGACTTTGCACCTCTGTACTGTCTCCATTTTAAATATTTCTGCGCCCATGAATGATCTTTAGCGAGTTAAGCATACCCTGAAGGGCCACCCCTTACACGCCATTTCCGTTTTATATGCTTGTTTTAAAGTATGTTTGTGGATACGGAACTGTTCGGAGGCTGGCTTAATAGTACTCACTGAATCCAGGAGATGGGCAGTGTTAGGCTCTGCCTTTAGCATGAGAGGAAATTAAAGCTGGGATAACAATTTGTTCAAATGTGCACACTGCGGATTCTGGGTGGGGCACCCACGTTCTGACTCATGCTCATCTCTTGGATTTCCCAGTGCTTGGCTAAGTATAGAAAAGCATGTTTTGGAGGGATCTGCCTCCTAAATAAGTCCTTTCTCTGGAAATTGTAAAACGTGCTGCCAGAGTCGTGGATGAAAAAATGAAATTTGGGTTAGGTTCTTTACATTTTTCTGCGTAGCTGGGTTATTTCCTAGTTTTTACTTTACTATACAGTATAGGAAATAAATTCATTGGTGCCATAAAATCCTGGCATACAAAATACATAGGTGAATTTTAAGTCAAAGGAAGGGTAGCAGAAACTTTTAAATACTGTAAATCTGTGGCTAGCTTGTTTAATAATAATATTTCCATAATTTTGTTTAGCTGTATTTAGCTCGTAGGCTAAGATTCCTTCATGCCTTCGCGAAAATGAATTGTAGTCTGACACATTTCTGTGCCTTGTGGTGTGGGCAGCGCTGAATCTCGGAGATTCTCAGGGCAATCTTTCTCTTAATGCCAAGGAAGAGAGTAGGGAAGAAAGAAGCCTACTGGGAGCCCAGCTCCATCTTCTATTTGGGATCTACTTGCTTTGTTTCCTGGGGAGGATGCTAAAGCAGCATTTTCTAGATTGCATTCCAAGTGAGGGGTGTGTGTGTGTGTGTGTGTGTTTGAGATGGAGTCTCCTCTGTCGCCCAGGCTGGAGTGCAGTGGCGCGATCTCCGCTTACTGCAATCTTGCAACCTCCACCGCCCGCGTTCAAGCGATTCTGTCGCCTCAACCTCCCAAGTAGCTGGGACTACAGGCACGCGCCACCACGCCGGCTAATTTTTGTATTTTTTGGTAGAGATAGGGTTTCACCATGTTGGCCAGGCTGGTCTCGAACTCCTGGCCTCAAGTGATCCACCTGCCTCGGCCTCCCAAAGTGCTGAGATTACACGCATGAGCCACCGCACCCGGCCAGAAATGCAGCATTCTTATCTTCCCTATTCTCAAGCTTAACAGTTTGAAGAGTGTGCACATGTTTTAAATACTCTGAGAAGTGTTGTGTCTCTGTATAGTTTTGTTTATTTTAGCACTTCTTAAACTTACTTGATGATAAAACCTATTCTGTTTGGAACACCTTTGATCATCCTGTAGAACATGAATATTCCACAAAATACAATTTGGGAAATATTGTGCTACAATATCATTTAAATACATGAAAATTTTCCAAAATAGGTGAAGCTTTTTCAATATGTACATCTATCCACATGACAGAAATTATGCTATTTAAAATTGTCAGAGATTATCTAGTGACATGGGAAAACTGCTTACAATATAACGTTAACTGAAAAAAACAACATATAAAATTATATCCAAAGATTCCAATTTTGTTTAAAAAATACTTAATATGCATATGAAAGAAAAACTATAAGAAGTATGTATGCCTAGACCTCAATTGTGGTTGTTCTTTGGCAGTGGGATTGCAGAGTAACATGTATTTTCTTTTAATACTAGAAATTTCCAGTCGGGTGCGGTGGCTCACCTGTAATCCCAGCACTTTGGGAGGCTGAGGCGGGCTGATCACTTGAGGGCAGGAGTTTGAGACCAGCCTGGCCAACATGGTGAAACTGCGTCTTTATAGCCGGGTGTGGTGGTGTGTGCCTGTAGTCCCAGCTACTTGGGAGGCTGAGGCAGGAGAATTGCGTGAACCCGGGAGGCAGAGGTTGCAGTGAGCTGAGATTGCGCTCCTGCTCTCCAGCCTGGGCGGCAGATTGAGAACTGGTCTCAAAAATAAATAAATAAATAAATAAATTTCCAAATTGTCTGGAATAAGTATATTAAATTTATTTTTAAAAAGGTTATTAAAAACTATAAGAAAATTTTGTTTGCTTTCATCTGAAATATAATGTTCCTCATGTTAAATCTTGTTCTGCAGATCCATTTAGCAAACTCATTATTCTTCAGAGTGCAAAGGACACTCAGTAAACAACATTTCTGTGATATAGAGACTTAGAAGAGAAGCCAGCTCCTAAAAAGCTAAGCTGGTTGAGCAATGAGATCTCTGTGCACAAATTTTTAAAAGACATCCACAAAAGGTAGAAGTATAGAAACAAAAACAGTGGCCTGTGCTTCTAAGAAAAGTAACAGCATAACTTCCACCCCAGAAGACGTAGGCCTTGCAGAAGATGCTTTTGAGGTATTACTGAAAAAGTAAGGTCATTAAGGAAAGCTGCATGTATAACAGAAAGGAGATCTCAATTCCTGCTTTGTTTCTATCTTCTTAAGAACTTAGGGAAAAGTCACCTTTAGAAAGAGGAGATGGAAGGCTGGGTAGGAGAAGAGCTTCTGTGAGTCAGGCCTCGATTTGGTATGAAGAACTGACAGTTACATTCAAACTTGGGATGATGTAGAGGGTATCCAAGAAGCTTGTGGGAGTAGGTGATTTTTCAGATCCCTTTTGAGTTAGGTTATTAGATAAAATTGTTTTTATATGAAGCTATTTTAAGAAACCTTTTCCTCTGATGGATGCTGAGATACTGAAAAAAAGAAAGAAAGAAAGAAAGAAAGAAAGAAAGAAAGAAATGCTGAGTCACTGCAACCCAATAGCGCACAGTGGAAAGAGGTTTTGGAATCAGTTTGATTCTGCACTCTGCCCTTATTAGCTGCATGGTTTAGGACAAAATATATAATGTCGTTGGAAGTCATTTTCCTCAGCTACCAGGCCTGGCACATAATGGAGCTTAGTTCTCCCTTAATGTCACTTCCAATGTAGGGTGCTCACTTAAGCCAGTGTCTGCCAAGCCTCAGTGGGTGGTTCAGTGGCCCTAGTTCTCCAAACAGCATTTTAATTATCTATCCCATTATTTTTCTCTTCTCTTTTTCTAACCTTATTTCTGTTTCCTTTTCTTCCCTACCCCCACTATACACACGTACAACTCATATCTTTGAAAGAAGTATAGTTTTTATGGTATTCAAAAAGTTTCTAGAATAATTTATATGTGATGGAGGATGCATATATTTTTCAGAATCTCCAGAATCTGGTCTCCAGGAACATTATTCTAATCTGTGTATGGAAAAATCCCAGAAAATTAATCCTTTTATATTGCGTATGCTCCAAGAAGTGGATGAAGAAATTAAAAAGGGGTAAGAAAGACAAATACTTGATTACATTAATAGTGTTTGCTTATATTCATGTGTGTGAAAATCCTAACATATTGAGTGATTTTACAGCCATTTGAAAATGCTTGGTAAAATGGATATACCGTTTGATTCAGGTAAGTAAGCAGATGAACAACACTGTTAGTAGGTCTTAGAGGTGGTATAGCATTCAGGAAAGAGCACTAGACCGGGAGTACCCAAGCTTGGGCTCCAGAGTGATCTTTAACTTCTGTGGGCGGGGTGAATCTTTTTTGTGTGTGTGTGGGCGGGGTGAATCTTTTTTTTTTTTTTTTTCCTGAGACGAGTGTGTCCCTCTGTCCACCAGGTTAGAGTGCAGTGGCATGATCTTGGCTCACTGCAAACTCTGCCTCCTGGGTTCAAGCAGTTCTCCTCTCTCAGCCTCCTGAGTAGCTGGGATTATAGGCGCCCGCCACCATGCCCGGCTAATTTTTGTATTTTTAGTAGAGACAGGGTTTCACCACGTTGGCCAGGCTAGTCTTGAACTCCTGACCTCACGTGATCCGCCCGCCTTGGCCTCCCAAAGTGCTGAGATTAACAGGCGTGACCACCGCGCTTGACCTGAGCTGGGTGAGTCTAAGAAAATCACTGAAGTTTTCAGTGTTGTTATCTATAAAGTGGGGATACTGTTTGTGGGAGTGTGAGTGTGAGTGTGTGTGAGAGAGAAATTATATGGAATCTTTTAAAGCACTTTGCAGTCTGCAGAATGTTCAGTAGTTTTAAGTTACCTGTTATAAACATACTATATAAGTCTACTTACTATATGCTTGCTTCCAGTAACTGTTATCTGTGATATGACTATTTATACATGAAGGAAACATACTTTAATTCTTTACTGGGTTTCTATTTCAAAATCTTTTTTTTTTTTTTTTTTTTTTTTTTGTATTTTAACAGGCTAGCAGCAGGAATCACATTAAACATTGCTGGTAACAATCGCTTAGTGCCAGTAGAAAGAGTTACAGGTGAAGATTTTTGGATTCTTTCCAGAATTTTAAAGAATTGTCTGTATATTAATGGTATGTTTCCATAAGAATCAATACCTCCTGCTTTTCATTGATCTGATTTAAGTATTCTTTATAAGGAATATCAGCTCCATTCATCTGTGCTTCAGGTTTGGATGTTGGATATAACCTTCTAAGTGATGTTGGTGCATACTATGCTGCGAAACTGGTTCAGGTATTATTTTACTACAAAATGTCTTTAGTTCCATTTACAGTGAAACCAATTAGTCTAATGACACACACATAAAATACTAGTTTTACCCGATGTCAAGGGTCCCGACTCTGTGCTAGAACACTTGAAATATACTGGAAACTCACTGTGAATTTGGTCTCAATGGAGCCAGTAGCTAGAGCTCCTGAGTTCTTTTGCAAACTTGTACACCAGGATTAAATATATACACCACATCCATCTTTCAGATTGATCAAACGAAAGTTTTTCTTTCATTTATATTGTAATTATATTTTGTTTACGTAAGAATGATTTTTTTTTTCCTTAATGGTAGTTGTTTTTGCTAGGATAGTTTTTCTTGGTTATAAAGATTTTCTTTGGAGGAAAACACTTATTCAAATAAAGTATATACTGTGTGTATGTATGTGTGTGTATATATATATATACTGTGTGTATGTATGTAAAACTGATCAATTTCCAATAATAATAATAATGTGTAATAGCTTATTTTCTCTCATAGAAACAACTCAGTCTCATTTACTTAAACCTCATGTTTAATGATATTGGGCCTGAAGGTGGAGAATTGATTGCTAAAGTGCTACATGTAAGCATTTATGTATTTCAAACTAACATTTTATTTGGAAATTCTAACTTCTGATAGCTTGGAACCAACAGCGTCCGATGTTGAAGTGAATTTATTTTAATATTGTAGGAATACATATTTTTATTATACTTTATTCAAGTGTAGACATTGCATGAACACTTTTGAAGTCATAGTTTTACTAAGATTTAATTCTCATACATAAAATCTACCCTTTGAAAGTCTTCAGTGGTGTTTTAAGTATTAATATATTCAGAGCTTTGCAAATATCACTACTATCACTATTTTTAAAACATACTTATCACCCTAAAAAGAAAAGCCCTAAACTCATAAGCAATCCCTCTCCATCTTTTCCACCCCCTACTCTCCAGCCCCTGGCAGTCACTAACCTACTTCATCTCTCTATATATTTGCCTACTGTGGACATTTCATATATTTCATATAAACAGAATCATACAATATGTGGCCTTTGTGACTGGCTTAATGTTTTCAAGGTTCATCTTGAAAACCCAGTCACAAAGATTTATGTTTTTTAAAGAGTTTTATAGTTTTAGCTCTTTAATTCTTTGATCCATTTTAATTTTTGAATATGGTATGAGGTAGGAGTCCAACTTTATTCTTTTGCATGTGTATATCCACGTGTCCTAACACCATTTGTTAAAAGACTTCTTTCTCCCATTGAATTGTCTTCACAGCTTTGTCCAAAAATCAGTAACCATCATTACAGGGGTTTATTTCTGTATGAATAAAGATCTCTGTGACATGAATAAGTTTAAGGAAAAGTGCTGTGCCTTGATAGGCATATGCAAATATCTTCATAAACCTTTTTAGTGCATAAAGAGCAGCATTGTGCTAGCAAGTCCCACCTTTCACCCTAAAGCGGTTTTCTCCTTTCTCAGTAAACAGAACATACAATCGGGTTTTACACAGACATGTTCCATTGCCCAGGGATGGGCAGGAGACAGATTCTTTTCTCTATCTCAACTGCCAAGCAGCTTCTTTCCTCTTACACTAGTCCTCCTCAGCACAGACCCTTCACGGGTGTCAGGATGGGGGACGATCAGGTCTTTCTCTTCCCACGAGGCCGTATTTCAGACTATCACATGGGGTGAAACCTTGGACAATACCTAGCTTTCCTAGGCAGAGGTCCCTGCGACCTTTGTCAGTGTACGTGTCCCTGGGTACTTGAGATTAAGAGAATGGTGATGACTTTTAACCAGCATACTGCCTTCAGGCACTTGTTTAACAAAGCACATCCTGCACAGCCCCAAATCCATTAAACCTTGAGTCACCACAGCACATGTCTCTTGCAAGGACAAGGTTGGGGGTAGGGTCACAGATTAACAGCATCTCAAATACAGAACAAAATGGAGTCTCTTATGTCTACTTCTTTCTATACAGACACAGTAGCAGTCTGATCTTTCTTTTCCCTACATATGTCCTAATATTTACTCATTAGAATGATGAAATGTCTGTAATTTTGTGAAATATTTATCACATTATATTACTTTAAAAGTGATATAGGAGGAATGGGGAGTGACTGGTTAATGGAATAGGACTGGCTTCGGGGATGATGAAAATGTTTTGGAATTAGCTACAGGTGATGACTGCACAATACTGTGAATGTACTAAATGCTACTGAATTGTGTACTTAAAAATGGTCAGTTTTATGCTATGTGAACTTCACCTCAATTTAAAAAAGTGAAGTGCTATAATTTTCTTAAGATAAATTTACAGATTTTTCCAGTGAAAGGAAAGTTTATTAATATATGGTTTATTTACTGGTTATTGCTTGGGCATCTGTTTCTTGGGCATTATTTCTACTCAACTGTTAAACTAGATTTTTATCTATTATGGTAGATTGAATGTTACCTTTAAGGAATATATCCTGTTCTGGCTGGGCGCGGTGGCTCATGCCTGTAATCCCAGCACTTTGGGAGGCCGAGGTGGGTGGATCATGAGGTCAGGAGATCGAGACCATCCTGGCTAATACGGTGAAACCCTGTCTCTACTAAAAATATTTTTTAAAAAATTAGCCAGGCGTGGTGGCGGGCGCCTGTAGTCCTAACTACTCGGGAGGCTGAGACAGGAGAAGGGCGTGAACCCGGGAGGCGGAGTTTGCAGTGAGCTGAGATCGCACCACTACACTCCAGCTTGGGCGACAGAGTGAAACTAAAAAAAAAAAAAAAAAAAAAAAGGAATATACCCTGGTCTGTCTCCATGAAAATTGGAGGCTGCAAATAGTAATAGTCTCCTAATTCATGTAATGTATAGAATTCTGTGGATTAAAAATTTTTAAATAAAATTTTTTTTTCCTTTTCAGAAGAATCAGACTCTGAAATACCTAAGAATGACTGGAAACAAAATTGAAAATAAAGGTGGAATGTTTTTTGCTGCAATGCTGCAAATTAATTCATCGTTAGAGAAATTAGATCTGGGTGACTGTGACCTGGTGAGTAAAATGGTTATGAGAAAATCATCCAGATAAGCTAAATGAGAGTCTTATCAATGACTAATTTTGCTTCTTATGTCTAATATCAGAGAAAAGGTATTTTTCCCCTAGATATAATAGTGCAGATTAATAAAATCAGACTATAGTAAATAACAGAAAAATACTTAATAAAAATATTCCTAAACTTCCATCTACATAGCTCATCTTAAACTGTATGGAATTTTTAGAAAAAGATCATGTTCACTTTAATTAAACAAATATTACTTTATTCATATAATTTTTTTACTTTTGAAAATACATGTTAGGCTGGGTGCAGTGGCTCACACCTAAAATCCCAGCACTTTGGGAGGCTGAGGCAGGTGGATCACCTGAGGTCAGGAGTACAAGACCAGCCTGGCCAACATGGTGAAACCTCGTCTCTACTAAAAATACAAAAATTAGTCAGGGCTTGGTGGCGGGAGCCTGTAATCCCAGTTACTCAGGAGGCTGAGGCAGAAGAATCGCTTGAACCAGAAGGCGGAGGCTGCAGTGAGCTGAGATCATGTCACTGCACTCCAGCCCCCGGGCGACAGAGTGAGACTGCCTCAAAACAAAAATAAAATACTTTTTAGTAGTTACTTATATTGTAGCACAAAAACTTAAAATGATGCTAAAAGCTGCTCTGAAGCTGGGTGACATGACATGTACCTGTAGTCCCAGCTATTCAGGAGGCTGAGGTGGGAGAATCTCTTGAGCCCAGGAGTTTGAGGTTACAGTGCACTACAGTCGTGCCTGTGAACATCCACTGTACTCCAGCATGGGCAACATGGTAAGACCCTGTCTCTAAAAATTATTAAAAACTATAAAAGTTGCTTTCAACCTTCACCTGGCCTGATAATGAGAAATGTGTTTTTTTGCATGTCTTCAAATTCCAGGCTTCACTTTCTCTGACATGTTTTCAAATCTTCAGGCCTACTCTTGGGAACCTGTTGTATAGCCTCAGGTTAATCAATGTGACATGAAAATAAGATGGGCCAGGGGGCTCTCTGGTTTAATAGATTCTGAAGGATTTTTAATTTTATTTTTGGAGACAGAGTCTCACTCTTGTCGCCCAGGCTGGAGTGCAATGACATGATCTCGGCTCACTGCAACCTCCATCTACCAGGTTCAAGCGATTCTCCTGCCTCAGCCTCCTGAGTAGCTGGGATTACAGGTGCCTACCACCACACCTGGCTAATTTTTTTGTATTTTTAGTAGAGATGGGGTTTCATGATGTTGGCTAGGCTGGTCTCGAACTCTTGACCTCAGGTGATCCACCCGCCTCAGCCTCCCAAAGTGCTGGGATTACAGGTGTGAGCCACCGTGCCTGGCCCCAACTTCCTTTCTTACTTTGATTCTTACTTTTCCAGAGATACAATTTTGCCTTTATTACTCATGATTTCAAAGGTGTAATGGTTTAGCCACATCAATGTAACAAACAGTTCACACTGGGCTCTTATAATGCTCTTTTATATTTTTAAATAATTTTTTAGGGGTAATGATCTGGCAGTTTTAGATTACTGGTTTCTCTGTGGAGAATTAAAGGGTGGCAAGAAGAAGCCATCTGACCACTTAGAAGTCCAGGTGAGAAGTGAGGAGGACTTGGGCTGGGGTGGTGGCCACAGAGATGGACAGGAACAGACTAATTTGAGACATCTTTTGGAGGCAGCAGAATCTGTAAGACTTAGTGATCAACTGGATGGGAAGGTTAAGAGGAATGGCAGAGTGAGAGGAAGCCCATGGTTTCCGGCATACCAGCTGGGTGTACATGGTGGTGTCCATCACAGATATGGGGGAGGACTAGGCCCTTTCAGTCAGATAGAGCAAGAGAAGCCTATGGGATCTGTGAAAAATGTGATTGGTAACCTTTTCCCACCACACACACTTAAAGTACTAGTATGAATATAAGAGTGCTTGCACAATGATATGTGTTGCGTAAGTAGTATGAGCTCTAGCTGGGATCCACATAGAAGCTTGAGGGGTGAGGAATAAAAACCTAGAGGGAAACACCCAGGAAATGGACACTAAAACATTAAGAAACTCCCCATGCCATGTTTTAGTTAGATTTTAGGGCCAAGAGAAAAGAATACAGTTTTTGATCAACTTACAATTCAAAGTGCAAGGAATGCTTAAATTTTAAAAATAATTTTATCAGAATGCAGATAGCTGATCTTGAAATATTTATGTAGCGAGATTATTATATACTTTGTCAGTTTCCTTAATGAATTTACCTGTTTTTAGGGAATGCAAAGTGTGATAGCATTTGCTACCGTACTAACTCGAAACCAAGCAATTAAGGCAATAAACCTAAACCGACCTATACTGTATGGTGAACAGGTATGTATTCAAAGTGATGGTAGTTAATATAACAACATGAATGAAACTAAGGTACTACTACAAGTTTATGTCAAGGTACATGAATACACTATTTTTAGACATGTGTGTACTATATCTTGTAAACTACTCTTTATAAAAATGTTTATTTAAAGGAAAATTATATCAATTCTTGGTAAGACGTTTATAACTAAATATGCTTTTAGATATTGCTTACTTAAGCAGCAAACATGTCATCTTTTCTCTTGAAACTCAAGTTCTTAGTGAGTAAACCTGCGAGGGTCAAAGTGGTCAAGATGAAAGCATAAATAATGAAGTGTTTTTTTTTTTTTTTTTTTTTTTGAGACGGAGTCCCACTCTGTTGCCTAGGCTGGCACGATCTCGTCTCACTGCAAGCTCTGCCTCCTGGGTTCACACCATTCTCCTAATAGTGAAGATTTTAAAGGCCACATTATAAGAGCCCAGTGTGAACTGTTTGTTACATTGATGTGGCTGAACCATTACACCTTTGAAATCATGAGTTTTAAAAGCAAAATGTGTGTGAAAAAGCAGTCTGGAAAGTTTGGACTTGATCCTATCTATAGATAAGCTGCTTGCTGGAGACAGAAAGATGAGTAAAAACATGGTTCCTACTTTCATGACTTCTTGCTCCTTCTGGATGGCTTTCTTCTCCTATCACTTGTAAACAGCTAGAGAATAAGAACTCACATTATTATTGGTATAAACAAAAACATATATCTAACTATTAGGAAAAGTAAATGGTCAAAGCACTTTATAAAGTTCCATGTTTAAAATGTAATGTTTGGCCAGGCACGGTGGCTCACACCTGTAATCCCAGCACTTTGGGAGGCCAAGGCAGGCGGTTTGAGACCAGCCTGGCTAACATGGCAAAACCCAGTCTCTACTAAAAATACAAAAATTAGCCAGGCATGGTGGCAGGCGCCTGTAACCCCAGCTACTTGGGAGGCTGAGGCTGGAGAATCGCTTGAACCCAGGAAGCAGAGGTTGCAGTGAGCCAAGATCTCACCACTGCACTCCAGCCTGGGCAACGGAGCGAGACTTCATCTTCATCTCAACCAATCAATCAATGTCAATGTTTGAATTTTGAACTTTTTTTTTTTTTGAGATGAGGTCTCACTCTGTCACCCAGGCTGGAGTGTGGTGGCATGATCTCGGCTCATGGCAGCCTCCACCTTCTGGCCTCAAATGATCCTCCCACCTCAGCCTCCTGAGTAGCTGGGATCACAGGTATGCACCACCATGCCCAGCTAATTTTTTTGTATTTTTGGTAGAGACAGGGTTTTGTCATGGTGTCCAGGCTGGTCTTGAACTCCTGAGCTTAAGCTATCTACCTGCCTTGGCCTCCCAAAGTGCTGGGATTATAGGCATCAGCTACCATGCCCAGCCAAACTCTGGACTTTTTAAATGATCAAAGCACTTTAGATAATTTAAAATTATCTATTTCATTGTTCCCCCTCAGCATGAATAACTGAGAATTAACGATATTTTTAAAGTAGTATTCTCATATTCAGAAGTGTATTTTACATTCTTTGCCTACATAGATATCTCCCTTTGAGTTATCTTTGCACTTTCCAGTACCAGAATTTTTGCAGTTTTACATCACCTTGTTTCATGTACGTAAATCCAATCTATTCAACAAGACCCTCAGAATCTTCAAATAGATTCCTATTTTTAAAATATTTAAAAGACTAGCAAAATACAGCTCAAAGTAGGCATGCAGTGAATTGCTTCACTCATGATTCATTCACACCATGAATATTCGAATGCAACCTTAAACCAGACACAATGCTAGCGAGGTGCTAGAGGTATTAAAGTCAAATAAATTACACAGCACTTGTCTTCAGTGAGTTTTCCATCTAGGTGGAAGGAGCTTGACAAGTCTGGAGAGTGATATGCTTGGGGTGCCATGGGGACATAAGGAGGGTAATCGAAATCAAAGCAGGGGAGGTGAGTGTGATAGGGAGGTTCTCAGATTGAGGATATGACAGGAGATTTGAAGGCTAAATAAAAAATTTCTGGATTGTATCTGTGCAGAAATATGTTTATATATAGGAGATCACATTATAAGCATGATCCCTTTTTAAAATATGTTGAGTGGTGTCATTCCTAAATCCACCTGAGGATGCTTATTATTAAAAGCCCAGGCCCCCTTGTTGCTCTCAGCCTGGTGTTTCTGGCAGCCAGCTAGGTGCTAGCCTGTTTTGTTCTTCTCCAGGACAGCCACTATCTTCTCTATCCCCAAGGCTACGATTCTGCTCTGAAATTGCTGTTCCCAAATACAAACCTGCAAATTAATTCCATTTATGGGTTTTACTGTTTTATTACCATGGAGGAATGGGATAACAAAAAGCTGTTAACATGTTGGACTTCACCTTTAACACTCATTGGCATTATCCAGGGAGCTTGAAAAATACTGATGCCAGGTGCCACGCTAGACAAATCAAGTCACAAACTCGGTGAATGGGGCTAAAACCCTTTACTATTTCTGACAATAGTTCCTCCCTTAATTAGGATACTCCTGCTTTCAAGCTTTGTAGCCTAGAACTGCAATCAAGGCCCAAACACAAAAACATAATGAGTTTGTGTTCTGTGCCTGGCACTAGGTAGAGCAATAGTGGAACCCCCTAAGTGTGACTGGTTTGCATTTTTTTACGTTCCTAGAGTACACAGCATCCCTTTAGCAGGCTGGCTTGCATTTTTGAAGATACTAGTCCACATAACATTCCTTAGGGTATATCTTTTCAGTGTCAAAGCAATTTCAGCAAATACAGAATTACAGAATATTGAACAATAATAAATGCTTTGTAGTCTGCCTATGGAACACTTATTTTGTGCTAGGTACCTTTTTTCAGTTAACTTATTTCTGTGAGGGAAGCATAATTTCAGCTACTTTACTAAAATGGAAATTGAGACTCAGCTGGATAAAAATATTTTCCCAAAGTTATATAGCCAGTAAAAGGTAAAGCTAGTATCTGACAGATTTGATTTTTATAAAGCTTATGTACTTTCTGCTATTGCTATATGGTTTCATTTAAAGTTTTTTTCAAAGTACCTTTATATATAACAAGAACACATATAGTTATCTATGTTCATCATCAGCATTTCCAGTGACTAAAAAACTTATTATGTTATACAGCAATCATGCAAGAGTACTTCTTGTCACAAAATACTTTGGGCTATTCATTTGAAAATATGCTTTGATTTTGTTAAAAACTTAAAATGCCTGGTATTCAAATCTTCACTGATGCTATGTATCTTTTGCCTAGAAGCAGCAAGATTGTGGAACTTAAAAAAAGGTCTTCTGATGATCAGAATATAAGAATAAAACCTCTTAGGAATTTGAGATGAATATAAAAGGGAAGGATCAGATATATCACAGGGTTAATGAGTGTATTCTTAATGTAAAATAAAGATTGGGAAATGTCTTCGTATTTTGTCTGAAAACCGTCAAGAGTAGAGATCAAGAGCAAAGTTCAGGAACATAAGGAAGGTACAAGAAAGGTTTAGAGATTTGAAAGATGGATTACATGCTCAATACATGATGGGACCATTTTTTTTTTCCTTTCGAAATGACTGATTATTGTTCCTTTAAAAAACCAAATTAACCAGCATCTTTTACATCACTTAGGTAGCAGGCACTTGTAAAATATAGCGACTGTATTTTACCTTCTGAGAAGGTAAAAAATATCATTTGTGGCAAAGATAATTTTTTTAAGATAGACTAAACAAATGCAAATTGTAGACTAACAGTTTTAGCCAATATAATCTTTTTTAAAAGCTAATTTAAATAACAGCATATGTCTGATAAACATGCACTACTTCAAAATTATATTTTAGAAATAAGATTTTATCCACTTTTAGGAAGAGTCCACAGTCCATATAGGCCGTATGTTGAAAGAAAATCACTGTCTTGTTGTACTACACATGTGTAAGCATGATATAAAAAACAGTGGTATACAACAGTTATGTGATGCACTGTATCTGAACAGTAGCCTGCGCTACCTTGATGTCAGCTGGTAAGTGATAATTTACACATTAATAATTCAAAGTTAAATCATGGGAATAATCTATATATAAATATTCATGGTAATTGGGATACTTTGTTAGACATTATTTCCAATGATTAGAAACTGCAACCAATTGTCAACCCTTTGTCCTAAGCTTTAATATTTAATACTGCTGTCTTTTAGTAACATAAATGAGCAATTTAGTTGTGTAAACAAGAATGAAAGCAATATTTTATGGTGAATTTTCATTAACTTTCTTGGAAATCAAGTGATTAAAATAAACCTTTACTAAAACACAAAGTACTGTTTAAATTTTCAAGCATCTTATCACTATGAATGAAAACACTATTTCATATTTTCAAATATAACTATTTTTCTTTTCCCAGCAACAAAATAACTCATGATGGAATGGTGTATTTGGCTGATGTACTGAAAAGCAACACTACCCTGGAAGTAATAGATCTTTCCTTTAACAGAATCGAAAATGCAGGTGCAAACTATCTCAGTGAAACTCTTACTTCACACAACAGGAGTCTTAAAGCGTTAGTATGGTTTTATATTTAATCAAAATCACAAAAAAGCAAATTTTTAAATACTAATCTCAAACCCCTTAACTCTTAAGATGATGATGAAATATGAAAACTCAGCTTCTAAACTGACATTGTATTAAGTTACAGTAAACATTTAAATTTCTATTTTTCAAATGTACTGTCTTACAATTAGACTGGTTCTACTAATGATTCCTTCAAATTAATGAGAAAATTTGTATTGCTTATATTATTTATCCTGAATTCTAATAGAAAAATCAGAAGCATTCAATATGATCAAGACTTTTAAAAATAAAAATTAACTAAAGAATAAAATACTTGGATGCATTTATCCAGAAAAATATATCTGCTATCCACCCAAACATTTACTGAAAAATATAAAACAGAAGACTTTCAAAATGTAGTTAGTTCTACTAAGTACTTAAGGATCTAATTAGAAAACTAAGTTTCTTGGATTTTAGGAATTAAATGGTCAGTATTTCTACCACTACATTACAACATACTGAGGAATAATGCTAAGACTACACAAGAAAATGTTTGTAATAAATGTTGCTAATTTTTGTATTCTTTCCTTGTGGAACTATTGGTTTCAGGTTGTCAGTAGTCAGCAACAACATAGAGGGAGAAGGACTTGTTGCACTTTCACAATCAATGAAAACAAATCTCACATTCTCTCATATCTACATTTGGGGAAACAAATTTGATGAGGCTACGTGTGTAGTAAGTTTTAAGTTTTTTCCTTCACTGAAGGCTTTTTCTGGGATCATCTCTGTAACATCAGATATTATTTACAGGTGCCTCAGAAATAGTTACACAGTGAGACACTGCAGTTTTGATAATTAACATAAGTCCTAAAATTAGCTACTAGAGAGTTTGGTGGTTGAAATAACAAAAGACATTAAAACTATGTATTAGTATTACACATCACTGAATAACACAGTTCGAATTCCTCTAAGGTTAAAAAAAATCATAATTATTGATCAGATGTAGCAAAATTTCTGATCTGCTCCCTAATAATTATACCAAAATATGGAATGGGAGAGATAGAGTACAAGCTTTCAAAATATTTGGCATGTTGCTCGCATAAATACAGATAGCCTTTGATACTAATTTCAAAGCAGAAATAATGGTAACAGTTTCCATTTGGAAAGAATGAGGGGAAAAAGTAGATGTTAAAATTCTCAAAATTTGCAAAAGGACTAACCAAAATTCCACCACTAAAAAGAGTAATAAAACATACAGTATTGTCTAAACCACCCTCCCCAAAAAACCAACCCTTAATTTTAGAAAAACATCCATAATCCTTTAGGTTCTACACACCAGAAGCTGAATAAGTTGAGTTTGGAACTGGAACTAATGATGAATGACAAGCTAAAGCAAAAACCAACTTGACTTTTAAATCTTTTAATGTTTAAATTTCCATCTTTCTCCATAATGCCAACCTACTGACAAACCAGTTCAACATGTTTGTATGACTCTGTTATATAGATACTAAGGATCGTGGCTCATGCCTGTAATCCCAGCACTTTGAGAGGCCAAGGAGGGGGGATCACCAGGCCAAGAGATTGAGACCATCCTGGCCAACATGGTGAAACCCTATCTCTACTAAAAGTACAAAAATTAGCTGGCTGTGGTGGTGCGTGGGCCTGTAGTCCCAGTTACTCGGGAGGCTGAGGCAGGAGAATCGCCTGAACCCAGGAGACAGAGGTTGCAGTGAGCCGAGATCGTGCCACTGTACTCCAGCTTGGCAACAGACTGAGACTCTGTCTCAAAAAAAAAAAAAAAAAAAATATATATATATATATATATATAAATTCTACAATTAAGAAATAATAGGTCAGCATCCAATTCTATGGAATTGTCTCTCTTAGCCTAAATCTGTAGATTAGATTCAGGGGGGTCATGAACTCCATATAATTGGATGTCCAAATCTGGGATTCCCTTAATTTTTCTGAAGAATGGGTAACTAACTAGCTATCAGCAGATTTTTGAGAATGTATACAACAGCCCTCCTACCCAGCCCCCCTACCTATTCCAATTGATGAACATCTGTGGGACTTGAAAATTTTGACCGTAAGAGCTTTGGTCCACAAAATTGGCAGTACAGAAAATTAACTCTAGGAGTCACAAAATGACAAAACATGTCTAATACATTAAAAGTTAGAAATAAGTTTTGCAACATTATAATTTCATTCTGTGTAATTAAATGAATAAAAATCTACCTATAATACCTGGAAAATATTAAAATTCTGCAATGTTATTCAGAATATTTTATTTTAAACTACAAATTAGCACAGCTAATTTGAATATTTAAATTTCTTTAAGCACTGTAAATTGAATACATTTTTTCTTAATGATACAGTTTTTCTTTTCTTAAAAATCCTAGGCATATTCAGACTTAATTCAAATGGGTCGTCTAAAACCAGACAATACAGATGTGGAGCCATTTGTGGTAGATGGACGCGTATATCTTGCAGAAGTCTCCAATGGTCTTAAAAAGCATTATTATTGGACATCAACTTCTGGAGAATCTTATGACCACTCATCTAATGCAGGTTTTGCTCTTGTTCCAGTAGGACAGCAGCCATGAAAAAGTAGCTCTAAAATAATTTTCATACATTTGTCTTATTATTTCACAGAGGTTAATATTCTATAGCCTATTTGTTTTCTTTTATAAATTAAAACAGGTTACTTTTTTCAAATGTGTAAAAGATAATAACTTTGTATAACTGTCTATTGTGAAAAACTGAGTAGGGTTAATTTTTTAAAAGAAATTTTACAATATAAACTAAAGTTTTAACCCTGGAGAAAGAGGCCAAGGAACTAGACTAAATTTCTTTTTATAATGAAAATATAACCAAGTAGTGAAATAGCATGCAAGTAAAGGTCATTATAGGTATCTAACTGAAAGTTATTAAGTAGTATTAATAAAAAGGTTTGTGGTAGCAAATTACCAGTGACTTTCAAAGGGTTTCAAAGTTCAGAAGCTGAAAAAGTATTCTACCTATCCTATTTACGTGTTACAGACAGGTATTAATAACAATTTCATAAATACAGGCAAATATATAAACATATACATACCCCTTTCCCAAGTCAGTGCTGCTAGCTTCTCCCACCCTCCTCTCATAGATAACCACTATCCTGATTTCTAATACCAAAGAGTAGTTTTGCCTGTTCTTGACCTTTATATAAATGGAAGCATACAGTATACACTCTTTTTGTGTCTGACTTCTTTTGTTCAACATTATATTAGTATGATTCATTTATGTTGTTTAATGTAGCAGTAGTCTGTTCACTTTTCATTGCTTTATAGTATTCCTCACATGCTGGGTACTAGGGAGTCTACTAGATTCTGGAAAGAGTTTGATTTCCCAGGCTACGGTCTCTTCCTGTGTGCTACAGAAGGGACCCACAAGTTCCCATATTCCCCCAAAGGGAGATTCAGAAGATGGCTGAAGGGGAAGCAAGTAGGCTTACCTTGAGCTCACAGTGGGGTGCAGGTGGTAAACCTGTAATGTGACCTAGACTGCTGCCTGAGGCAGAGCTGCAGTTGACAGGGCCCCAGAGAGTTTTCCAAATCCAAGAGAACTGAGATGAAATCAGTTCAGCAAAGGACAACTGGGCTCTGACTAGACTAGGAAAGACTCGGTGTCTTATTTTATAAGCTGCTGCCTGCCGCAACAGAGGTCAGTATAATGCCCAGAGAATGGAAGGGCTCAAGAAAGACTCTGTCTATCCTGATGGCCACTGTCTTGTAAGATACGTCTGGACACCATTTTAGCGAGACAAACGGCAGAAATAAAACAGCATTTCTTCAAAAGATTAAGCATTACCTGTAAATCCCTTAAGATACTATAAATTCTAACCCCTTTATATCAGACTAGGTTTTAAACTGGCTAAAACTAAAAGTTAATTTCTTCCAGACTTACCACTGGGTATGGGCTCAAGAGGAAGGACATATAAGTTCCATAGGAAAACTCTCATTTCCTCTGCACATCTAAATTATAAAGAGCAAATCTGCAACCATATTGTATGTATTGTTTCATTTTTCTCTTAGCAATCATCCTTTAAGACCCAGCTCAAAGACTGCTCCATCTTACACTGTTGCAGATCAGATTATACTCATCATTTTACAATGTTTCAAATTTGAAAGCAAAAAATAAAGCAGTATGTGCTTTTCACATATTTGGGAAAATAATGATGATTTGTCTTAAATGCTCTCCTTTTCAAACTTTTCTATAGTATTACTTATTTATTATGTCTTCTTAATATCTACTACAACCATATCCATCTGGTTTCTGCTCCCAGTGTTATACTGTACCTGCCTTCTAAAGGATCATCATGCTCCAATTATCCAACCCAATGTTGTCTCAGATTTACATCCTACTTCTCTGTACCATGTGACTGTTACAAAGCCACTTTTGCCTCTGAAAAATGTGTGCCACCTTGGTTTTCTTCCTTTCTATTATCACTTTCCATCTTCTTTTCCGTCTATGCTCATCCTTTAAATGAATTTTCCCCCAAATTCTGTCCTCATCTTTTTTTCTCCAATACCATCTCCCAGGGCTGCCTTAATCATTTCTATAACTTATTAGCTGCAAGATCTGTATCTCTAGCTTTAACTTGTCCTGGTTTAGGCCCCATTTCCAACCACTACCAGAAATTTCATGCATATCTCACCACCAATCAAATTCGGTACATCAAAATTGCTTCCCTTCTCTAAACATGCTCCTTGACTTATCTTGATGTCAGTGGTATCACTATCTTCTCAATCACCAAGGATCAAAGCTTAGGTGTCCAATTTGGGGCTGCCTGATTACAAGGAAAAGAGAGTGACTCAGCCTGTTTAAGAAAAAGGGGATTTAACATAAGGATACAACAGCCACAATCAATGGCATCCAGGGGCAGAAAATGAATCATGGCTGCATCACCTCAGTAGGATTGCAAAGCCAGAAAGTAAGGCCACTCTTCTGATCTCTTTAGGGCAGTCTCTTGGCTCAGCAAACCTGTTTCATTCCCTAGTTTTGCTCTATAGATCAAGTTTCTCTGCTTCCTCATCATTTCCTTTAGACTTTAGCTTGCTTCACTAACTTCGAGGCCAGTTCTGAAATGATCTTTTCATTTATAGGTATATCATTACCTGATTGTCTCAGAATTTCATAGCTCAAACTTGTCAGAAAGAATCTTAACAGCTCAGTCTGGCCTATGAATTGTTTTTCCCTGGTGAAGTGTTTTGTTGCTGTGGTCACAAGTATGGAATCATGTGTTACCTAAGTGGCTGTCTAATCCCCGCCCTCCAGCACGCAACTGTGGTTGGCATGTGAGAACATGGGTTACAAACCTGGCTATCTAATCTCACTCCTTCAGCACAGACTATGGGTAGAGGACTATTTCAAGATGGTGTAGGTGTAGTACTGGAGATGCCTCTGACTTCTATCTCCTCTCCACTTAACACTTTCTCTCCATTCTGCCTAGTTCACTCTTCATCAGCTATGTGCAAATTCTTCCATCAGCCATCTCCTTGTTTGCCTATCCAGGTAAGCAATGGCCGTTTCTCTGTCCATTCTACTCCTGATGACTGCTCAGCATTTCCTTTCTTGCCTTCCCCTACTATAATACTCAACATCCTGGCTTGTCTTATTGCAAGTTATATTTATGCTTGGCATCTCCATTTGACTGTAAACTTAAGAGTAGTTTATCATCTTTGCAGCTTTACGCATTCTGATTTGAATTTTTTCCCAGCATTTGAAACACTGGCCAGATACTGTTATCCAAATATGTGGATGTTCACATCCATAGTGTTTATTTTAGTAAATTTTTCCTGAAATTAAATACTGTATTTACATGGTAATTATCTAATTCCTTAAACAAATACAGATGGTCCCCGACTTATGATTTCTTGACTTTACAATGTGTGAAACTAATACATATTCAGTATACTCCTTGACTTATGATAAACCCATAAGTCAAGGAGTCTCTGTACAGCAAACCTCTTGAATGAACGGAAGCACGAGTTGCAAAGGACAGAAGAGCAGACTATATTATTATCTCAAAAAATTAATGCTGTAATAACTACGTATCAACATTGCCCATAAATAATAAGTAAAAATGTAGAATTTAAAGAATTTTACTTGATGGTATTTAAAGTTCTAGGAATTCGGGGGGAAGAGGGAGGGATAGCATTAGGAGGAATACCTAATGTAAATGATGAGTTAATGGGTGCAGCACAGCAATATGGCACATGTATACATATGTAACAAACCTGCACGTTGTGCATGTGTACCCTAGAACTTAAAGTATATATTAAAAAAAGTTCTAGGTACTCCTATCTAGGTAAAATATTGAAAATTATATTCAAGAGCATCATTTTAAACTGCTTCCCAAAGGTAGAACATCAAGAAATGTTTAAGATAGTAGTTCATGGTTGGGCGCAGTGGCTCACGCCTATAATTCCAGCACTTTGGGAGGCCGAGGTGGGCAGATCACCTGAGGTCAGAAGTTCGAGACCAGCCTGGCCAACAGAGTGAAACCCTATCTCTAACAAAAATTAGCCAGGTGTGGTGGCACGTGCCTGTAGTACCAGCTACTCAGGAGGCTGAGGCAGAATTGCTTGAACGCAGGAGGTGGAGGCTACAGTTAGCTGAGATCACGCCACTGCACTCCAGCCTGGGCAACAGAGTGAGACTCTACATGTTTGGTATACATTAAAATCACCTATGGGGCTTCTCCAGCATATATACGCCCCGGGAACTGTCTGATTCAATAGGTGGGGTGGGCCTGGGTATTGGTATTTCTTAAACATGTTTCTGATATGCATTAAATGTTAGAACTATTTAGAATACTTAAAAAAACTGGTACATGTACATTATTTCAACTACTCACTCGCACAATTTCTGTAGGACTGAAACACAGAAATAAACTACTGTTGGAATGGAACTTATAGAACCATTACCTTTCAAAAAAGGTCTTCTAAAATTTATCTATCAAAATCATCCTGTGAAATTAAACATAAAACAAATGCCATTTAAAAACAGCAAAAAAATTTTTATATGATCTAGGGTTTCTTTTAAAACAATCTAAAATCTAACATACAGTAGGCATGATCTGATACAAATACAAAACAAAATTAAATTCATTTAGAAAACAGTTTTTCAGTAAGATATTCACCTTCTAAAGACTTTCATAAAAATATGTAATACTTAAATAATTACTAATAGACCTTTCCCAAAACTCTGCATTGTAACAAATATAAAGTTGGACTTAAAATGGTAGTTATGAGTGTCAGAATGACACCAGATACAACTAAATATATGCATATTATGATAAATAATAGCATAGCATTAAGAGAAGAATGCCAAAGAAGAGATACTGTCTTCAAGTTTTCTCTGCACATCATTCTGGAAGAGCAGAAAATGATGACAATTCAAGCCATGTCAATTTAAATAAAATTACTTTAGCTAAGAAGCAGAAAATGTGATCAAGAAAAGCTCAATCAATCTTAGCCACTTCAATCATATCAAATAATACTAAAAATAATAAATTTGAAGGCTAATCTATGCAAAAGCAAAATGCTAATTATACCAGAGGAAATTTGGCAACTATTGCCCTTATAGAATTATGACATCACTGTAGCAGTTTTTTGTTCATTAGATGCTTGGATTAATGAAGATATAAATAAATTAAACATAACTTCTCCATTTTAGCAAACTTCCTAAAGAGGCTGAGTCTTTTAATTTTCTTTAATTTGTTCACATTCCAATACAGTCCTATCACATTTAACCCAGAAGAGATTAGGTGAACATTCTAACGCTTTATGAATTTTATTTAAACCCACTATTTTAACTTAATACACATGCATAAATTTCTTAGATAAAATAATCAAATATTAAGTTTGTATTGTACAAAGGTGGTATTTCAAACTCTATTCAAATAAGTCAGTCCCGTGTCCCACCAGTGGCAATTTATTATGAGAATAATGTGTGTGCTGTGAAATGGTGAAGATCTCTACAGATTACAAGCATTAAGTATTTTTATTATGTCTTCTAATTGGTTCCTGTGACTTGGGTCCCAAATAGAGAAAATTAATGAATTAAAGAAATCAACACCAATAAAAACCATATTAACTGTACTACAGGTGTAGTTTAAAAGCAGAAAACAAAAGTCACAGCATGGCAGAAATAAGAAATGATGTCATCTCACACTGAAAAATAGCCTTGTGGGGGGGAAAAAAAGAATAAGAAAGAATGTCACCATGCTGTTTGATTGGCATTATAAAAATTGACTTCATGGAACTGATAATTTCATATCCAAAGATCAGGCAGTGAAATAAATAAATATGTGGGAAAAGTGGCATGGGGATGAGTGGTGCAAATATCAGGATAATAACGAATTTTCTACATTCGATTGGAAGGAGAAGTACCATTGTGAAACTATAACCACAACCAAAAGTTGTCGTTTAATTTATAAAATTAAAAACCCCAAACTTATAGAAAACTCAAATATAAAATATTTAAAATTGGCTTTCTGCTAACTCAAAATGTTTACTTATAATTGAGGTTAATTTCTTAACTCTTTATGCAATATAATGTACCAAATTTAGAAGCCGAGTGATTTCTAGTATGCATTAAGTTTATATCTAGAAAATTCTTTCTGGAATTTAATATTTATTTTAAAAGTGCATAACAGGAATAATAGAGGCTTACCAAAATATTTCAAAACTCAAGTACATTTTCCTCATCTCCAATATTTTAGAAACTGAATAAAACATAAACTGAATCAAATTCCGAAACTGTCTTTGACAAGATAAAAACACCAAATATCTACTTAAAATTCATTTTGAAAATAGAATCTCAGATAACTCAAACCAAAAGTACTGACCATTGGTTTTCTCCAGAATACTGAGTTCTAAATGAACAAAAATTTATACACACTTTTCTAGATTTTGAGAAACATTTGTTGTTTCATTAGAAAAGTTATTTCTAACAGAATATATTAATAGAGAAATAGCACAATTCTTATTCAGCACCTAAATTTTCGCGAGCGGAAATAATGAAATTTTACTTTTTCTCCATAGTTTACGTATTGATCCGTGGGGCTGACAAATAGTAACACACTCTTGGGCTGATACTATCATGGATTTTGCTTAAATTCTGAGGGCAGGAAAATTTTAAAGTCCCACAGGTCAAAACTGAATCACAT